TCGTGAGTAGTTCCCCTGCCCTAGAGCGCGCTCACACGTGAGTAGTTCCCCTGCCCTAGAGCGCGCTCACGCGTCGTGAGTAGTTCCCTTGCCCTAGAGCGCGCTCACGCATCGTGAGTAGTTCCCCTGCCCTAGAGCGCACTCACGCGTGTGAGTAGTTCCTCTGACCATAGAGTGTGCTCGCGCGCATGAGTAGTTCCCCTGCCCTAGAGCGCACTCGGGCGTGTGAGTAGTTCCCCTGCCTGTAGAGCGCGCTCGCGCGTGTGTGAGTAGTTCCCCTGCCCTAGAGCGCGCTCGCGCGTGTGAGTAGTTCTCCTGCCTGTAGAGCACGCTCGCACGTGTGTGAGTAGTTCCCCTGCCTGTAGAGCGAGCTCGCGCGTGTGTGAGTAGTTCCCCTGCCCTAGAGCGCGCTCACGCGTGAGTAGTTCCTCTGACCATAGAGCGCGCTAGTGCGTGTGAGTAGTTCCCCTGCCCTAGAGCATGCTCACACGTGAGTAGTTCCCCTGCCCTAGAGCGCGCTCACGCGTGAGTAGTTCCTCTGACCATAGAGCGCGCTCACGCGTGAGTAGTTCCCCTGCCCTAGAGCGCGCTCGCCCGCGTGAGTAGTTCCCCTGCCCTAGAGCATGCTCACGCGTGAGTAGTTTCCCTGCCCTAGAGCGCGCTCACGCGTGTGAGTAGTTCCCCTGCCCTAGAGCATGCTCACGTGTGAGTAGTTTCCCTGCCCTAGAGCGCACTCACGCGTGAGTAGTTTCCCTGCCCTAGAACGCACTCGCACGTGTGAGTAGTTCCCCTGCCCTAGAGCATGCTCACGCGTGAGTAGTTTCCCTGCCCTAGAACGCACTCGCACGTGTGAGTAGTTCCCCTGCCCTAGAGCGCGCTCACGCGTGAGTAGTTTCCCTGCCCGTAGAGCATGCTCACACGTGTGAGTAGTTCCCCTGCCCTAGAGCGCACTCACACGTGTGAGTAGTTCCGCTGCCCTAGAGCGCGCTCACGCGTGAGTAGTTCCCCTGCCCTAGAGCGCGCTCACGCGTGAGTAGTTCCCCTGCCCTAGAGCGCGCTCACGCGTGTGAGTAGTTCCCCTGCACTAGAGCGCGCTCACGCGTGTGAGTAGTTCCCCTGCCCTAGAGCGCGCTCGCGCGCGTGAGTAGTTTCCCTGCCCTAGAACGCACTCGCGCGTGAGTAGTTCCCCTGCCCGTAGAGCGCGCTCACGTGTGAGTAGTTCCCCTGCCCTAGAGCGCACTCGCGCGTGTGAGTAGTTCCCCTGCCCTAGAGCGCGCTCACGCGTGAGTAGTTCCCCTGCCC